CTCGGGGCGGGAGAGAGGCCACCGGCAGACCGTCCGCGTCCTGCGTAAGTGGAGCCACCGCGGTTCCAAAGACGCCTGCCTGCGGTCCACCCCGCCGGGGGCCGCCAAATGCTGGGTCCCCTTCCCCTGCTCGCCCAGCTCTGGGCGCCGCTTCCAGTTCCCTTTCCCATTTCGATTCCAGCCTCCACCCGCCCGTACTTCCTGTGCCCCCAGAAAACCATGTCCTGTCCCCCAGGAGCTCTGGAGGACCCCAGGGGGGCTTTGAGGGTGGAATCCCCGATCCGATTCAGTAACCAGCAGTGCTTTTCCAGAGCCTCTGAGACCAGGAAGGAGAGTTGGAAATTCTTAATCCAACCACCTGTTAGATGCCACAGATGAGGAGTCCTCACAGTGCCCTTGAGAAGATGAGGGAGATTTCATTAAGCTAAAAATTTTTATTTAATGTTAAGTGATGCTGAAGGCTAAAGTAAACCTTGCTTATATCAAAAAGTAAAGATTGTGCAGACCTGTTGTAGAATTCTTTTCAACAGAGAACAGAAAACTTCTCCGAAGTGAGTTTGTGGAAGGAAGCCTGCCAAGGCAGCTTGTTCAGAGAAATTGCTCCTTCTGGTTTATGTCCAGCCTTGATAACACGTATAGGAACCTACTATGCAGTTTTAAAGCAAATATCCTGCAGCCTGGTCATTTTTTTCTGGGGTGAGGATCTGGCTAGGTAGAAGTTTTCTCTAATTTATTTTGCTGTTACTTATTATTGCAGATGGTTCCTTGTGAGGGTGGGGGGGTTATTTGCTTCCCAATGCTTTTGTTAATCCCGGTGCTGTGTCTTACGTTGCAGTGGTGGTGGTTCTGGCATTCGTAGTTTGCTGGTTGCCATTCCACGTTGGCAGAATCATTTACATAAACACGGAAGATTTGCGGATGATGTACTTCTCTCAGTACTTTAACATCGTCGCTTTGCAACTTTTCTATCTGAGCGCATCTATCAACCCAATCCTCTACAACCTCATTTCAAAGAAGTACAGAGCGGCGGCCTGTAAACTGCTGCTGGCAAGGAAGTCCAGGCCAACAGGCTTACACAGAAGCAGGGACACTGCAGGGGAAGTTGCAGGGGACACTGGAGGAGACACAGCAGGCTACACCGAGACAAGCGCTAACATGAAAACAACGGGGTAACCAGCATGGCCAAGCCAGGCTCCTCTCGCAGTTCTAAGACTTCAGGGAAAACAGGTGTGTAGAGAAATAAAGACTGAAAGTGAGGAACAGATCCTGTTAAGAAGAATGGAAAGAGGGTGGCAGTTGTGCCAGTTGGTTAAGAAATAGACCACATGATTTATTTAACCAAGGTATGAAATGTAACTGTGCCAACCTTTCTAGTTTCCTTCCCAAGTACCTCCTAAGGGATGTCTATTTTACCATCACGAAATCCCACATCTCAAAGTGTGCTCTGTGTGATGGTTTCATGAAGTCCTCATTCTCCTACTCTTCGGAAGGATGTTTGTTCATTTTACAGTTAAGTGATACATAGAGATGCTGGCCCCAAAACTGCCACCTCTGAGATCATGAGTGTATTTTATGTTTTGGATGTAAATATAACAGTACATCTACAAGGAACCAGGATAATGACAGTTTGGATCCAAGAAATGATTTAATACCTATGTATGGCTGCAAAAACTTTTAGAAGTAAAAGGAATTCTAGGTAGACTCCAGTGTTCGGGGTCCCACCTCTCCAGATCACAGCAAATCATAAAGTGTAGGCACAATAAAACCCTCTTTCAGAAGTATTAAGCAACTGTATTGCAACCCACTTCTCCTTGACACTGCCCACGGGACCTTCCCAGTGCCACTGGCCATGGGGTGGCAAACTTTGGGCATCAACATTTGAGAGTAGAGAGCTCAGCAGGACATGGCTTTCTCTGGTGACTACAAATGACATTTGTAAAGAGCTATTTAATATGCTTTATCTCACCTCAGCTTGGTGGGGTGAGTGCTGTCATCAACATTACTGTTTTGGAAGTGAGTCTCGGATTGCCCAAACAGGAGCTGGTGAGCTGGAGTCTGAATCCAGTGTTTAAGTTGCTCACCGACTCCCAAGCCAAGATGCTGTCCTTACTGAAAAACACCAGCCAATGGATTTAGTCAAGAGTGAAAGAGAACTCACAGGACATTCTGATCAACAACTCTGTAACTTTGTTTTGTTTTTTACAGTTTAAAACAAAAATATTTTTAGAGGGTTACTGTTGTCCCTCAGCTCCAAAGGGCTTCACTGACACCACCTTCTGTATGAATGGCACCCCCAAGATGTGGGCAGGGTACAGCTTTCAGGTTGTACATGGGACCTTTTTTGGGGCTTTCAGATTGATAAATTCAAACCTAAATTACAATAGGATCTTGATTTTTACGAGGAATTTGTCCTGAGACCTTCATGAATCTTCAAATCTACAAATACCAGAAAAGTGACAAATGCTATAACTTCAGAGTTATAATGACAGATAGACATCAAGTCACATTGAGACTTGGAGGCTGGAGAGGCAGCTGTGCTGATTCACTGACTTGGTGTCTCTGCTTCACAGCCCACAGTTTGGATGGCTTCGGTGAGTGTCTAAATTACTTTCCGCCACAGGCCACCATAGTCTCTTTTGAATAGTTAAAACTACAAAAGATGAATACATAAATAACAATGGTCTGCCTGACATGCACTCAAAGTTCTGTTGCTTTCTCATTTTCTTAGCCAAAGCCCTAGCTCAGTCCCCAGCCCGGTCCACAATTGGCGCAGGAATGAAGACTCTAGTTTGCTTTTTCTCCTAGCTAGTGGAAGAAGCAGATTGCAGTCACTGGAAGAAGCATTCCCTAAACTGTGTTCTGCAGATGTTCAGGGATTATTGGAAAAAATGGTTCTGGGTTTAAATATGGTAGGAAAATACCACATCGTGTCCCCCCCACCACACCCTAAACATTTAACACACACAACACAACATAGCATGTCAGAGGCTCTGAGAAGTTGTCTCAACCAACATCTCCTTATTTTATCACAGAACCAACCCCCCATCTTCCCTCCCCAAGAACACTTAGTAAAATCTCATGGAGTGAGAAATACTTTGGGGAGCACTGATGTAGGGGTTCCGACAGTGGTGGTCCCTGCCTTGAGCCTCCGTAACTGTCTGCTTGGTAGCACTGAGTACAGCAGCTGCCACAGTCCTTCTGCGCATGGGAGCTCCTCTCTGGAGCAGTCAGGAGCGGCTACCTCCCTAGGGAAGGTCACAGCAAAAAACCTTATTGGGACGTATATAATACTTTATTTTATTTTTTTAGAGACAGGATCTCATCCTCTTGCCCAGGCTGGAGTGCAGTGGCACAATCCTAACTCACTGTAACCTGAAATTCCTGGGTTCAAACCATCCTCCCACCTCAGCCTCCCGGGTAGGCGGGACTACAGGGATGCACCACCGTGCCTGGCTACTTTTTTAATTTTTTGTAAAGTTAGGGTCTTACTGTGTTGCCCAGGCTGGTCTCAAACTCCTGGCCTCAAACAATCCTCCTGCCTCAGCCTCCCAAAGTACTGGGATTACAGGCAAGAGCCACCACACCTGGCTTATGTATAATATTCTAAACATAGAAGCAAAGACCTCTCTTTTGAGCTCTCTTGTTCAGATTCTAGAAAACAAGGATTTACATGACACTTTCCTGGGTCTTAAGCATGTTTCAGGTGTGGGCATAAGGAGGATCACCCTTCCCTTCCCAGATGTTCCCTGAGATGGAGGGCCTGAAGGCCATCCCTTCCCGCAGGATTCTTGTGTGGTCTCAGCCCACTAGTGGACTGTGAAATCAGTAAGTGTGCCACATTTTTCTTTAATGGAACAGCACGGACAAGAATACAGTCCATTGTGCATCACATGTAGTAAGGTAACTATTGTGCTGTGAAACTTTTGTTTCAATTATATTTTGGTTGGTGTCTTTCCCAGTTTACAAAATAAAATGTATTCTAACTGTGGGTCATGGTGGAAAATGTTTAAAAAGTTGTTCTAAGATCTAACGTTTTTCTCTAGCCCAGCAGAGAGCGGTCTGTTCTTACACTGACATCTGGCTATGAAAAGGGAGGCCAAGTCAGCGAATCACTGGAGCAGGAGAATCAGTGAGCTCTGGTTTCCAGTCCAGGGCTCCCTACCCACCCGACCCAGGTGGTAATCATGGAGGCTATGGGCCAGCCACTCTCTCCACCCCAACTGTGCTGGCATGCCAGCCACTTCTCTTTGAGCCCCCTCTCCCTTCTGCAGGGGGAACCACTTTTGTTAGGTGAGCTACCAACCTTGGAAGAGGGTTTGTATTTCATTCATTCCCATGGCAAATATTTACCAAGCAACTGCTAAGTGCCAGATGTGTATAACACAATACACTAGAAAAACTAGTCCGTGTGATGATGTCAAAATCAATCAACTTTCTAATGGCATTCTCTGTTTGAAATGTGTATTGTGTCATCTAGACTCACATGGATTCACCATTTAGATCAGATGGAAGTGCAGAACATCAGGTTTGCACTATCTGTCTGGACGTTCCTCCTCTTTTTTATGTGAGACATTTCCACTTCTGAAGGAAATGTTCAAAGAGCTATTGCACAACATCCGCTGCGATCCAAGAGTTTCCTGTGCCAGGTTCTCAAAGAGACACAGGCAACGTGCTAATGGTGTTTAAAATTCAAACACGCCCTCTCCTGACCCTTTCTACTCATGTCATAATGACATTTGCCAGTATATGGAAGCAAATTTTAGTGGCTGCACAGGTCTAGTATGTTTTGTTTTGTTTTGTTTTAGAAACAGGGTCTCCCTCTGTCACCCAGGCTGGAGTGCAGTGGCTTGATCATGGTTCACTTCAGCCTCAACCTGCTGGGCTCAAGCAATCCTCCCACCTCAGCCTCCCAAGTAGCTAGGACTACAGGCACACATCATCATCACACCTAGCTAATTTTAAAAAATAATTTTTTTAAGAGATGGGGTTTTATTATGTTGCCCAGGCTGGTCTCCAACTCCTGACCTCAATCGATCCTCCCACTTCAGCCTCCCAGGGTACTGGGATTATAGGCATAAGCCACCACACCCAGCTTAGGTTTAGTGTTTTAAAAGTGGCATTACTTAAACATAGATGGGATGCAGTATTTAATTATGAGTCCAATTTCTAAGGATTCCAAACCCTAACTATTATAGAGCCCCTAGTCTTCTATGAGGAGCCTTCGAAATCACGTTGCCTCTTCTGAGTGCACGGGGCATGGGCTCCACAGGAATGCTCTGTGGCAATCACTCAACCTGTCCCTCTCTGGTGTACACTACAGAGGAGGGGAGAGAGGCCGACTCGACCAGCCGCCTTAGGAAAACACCACACACTTTTTAAATAGTGCACACCTGTGTACTAAGGGCTATAAGGCTTTTTATTCCCCACACTAATTCTCTGGGTCAGTGGTTCTCAAACTTCAGCCTGCATCAGAATCACCTGGAGGACGTGGGAAGACACAGATTGCTGGGCTTCCCCCAGAGGGTCTGGATTTAGCAGGTCTGGGGTGGGGCCCAAGAATCTGTATTTCTATTGAATTCCCAGGTGATGCTGGTTGATGTCTCAGGTGGGACAGAGCGGGATGGCATAAGATTTCATCACACTACCCAGGGCACGCTCGACTGAAAACAACTGTTTATTTCTGGAATTTTCCATTCAATAGTTTTGGACCATGGTTGACCACAGGTAACTGAAACCTCAGAAAGCGAAACTACGGATAAGGGGGACTACTTTGTGGTTCCAAAGAAGCCATCCAGCTGGAAAAGTTCTGTTGTTGCTTTTTCCACAGGCTCCTGCAGATAGGTCCCTTTAGTCATAGGCTCTTTTTTTTTTTTTTTGAGACAGGGTCTCACTCTGTCACCCATGCTGGAGTGCAGTGGCACAATCACAGCTCACTGTAGCCTCAGCCTCCTGGACTCAGGTGATCCTCTCACCTCAGACTCCTGAGTAGCTGGGACTACAGGTACACACCACCACACCCAGGTAATTTTTGAATTTTTTTGTAGAGACGAGGTTTTACCATGTTGCTCAGGCTGTTCTCAAGCTCCTAAGCTCAAGCAATCTGCCCTCCTTGGCCTCCCAAAATGTTGGGATTATAGGCATGAGCCACTGCACCTGACCACTTTAAATACTTT